TCCAGCGCCTCGTGAGAGTCCAGGGTTGGCTGTCTCGTACTGCGTGTGCCCCCACAGGCGTGACCTCACGAATGGCCCCTCCACAGGATGGTCTTCTCCCGGTGTCACAGCGATAACGCTCTCAATTCCCCCTCATCCTTCACCCTTTGGACTTTGGGGCTGTTTACACCTCCTCAGTTAGATCTGGCCTCTCATCTGTTATCCCCCGCTCCACCGCCACCGTGTTATGGCTTTTCATCTTCTGTGTTTCAGCAGCCCTTTGCCCACCCCAAGCCCTGGAGAGGCAAACTTCAGGCGTTAGCAGCTTTCCCTTGCCCTAAACCACTCCTGCTCCCTTTAGGTTAGGGTTTTCTGTAGCTCTTACCTGATCTTCCTCCTCTTTGTACCTTTTCTCCTGCTATTTCTAAACCATCATTTTTGCCTCATCCACCCGTGCTTATAGCAAGGCAAAGCCCTTTTTTATGCAACCCATAGTTAATGTGTGGCATTCATTGCTCGTGATGGGGGGGCAGAGAGCACAGCCAGGTTCAGCAAGGGACTGGATAATGTCACGGGGGATAGAGCTATTCGTGGCTATTGAACAGAGCGGTTGAAGAGGGTTTCCTCCGGCATCTCTAAATTAAAAAGGGTGGAGGCCAAGGAGGGTAATGAATAGGGAACAGATAGGATTCAGTGCTCTCTGTCTATAGCCCCCCCTCCTGCCACTCTTGGAGAAGGGACACTGTGCTAGACAGACCACAGGTCTGACCGCGTCTGGCACTGCTGAGTCCTTCCATGCTCCAGCAGCCTGAGACATCTTTCATTAGCCTTTTCCCAGGTAAAACAGCCATCTCTAACCCACAGCCTCAGTCTGCAAAGGGATGTGCAGATCTCTGGCCCCCAGCACCATCGAGGTAGAGGCACAGAGCAGGGCATCGCGGTGAGGGGAGCCTATGCCACTGCTCCCTCTTTGCACACCCTGGCAATGAGGGATGTGCTGTCCGACACCCTCCCCTCTCTCGGTGGTGACGAGCTGGCTTGTGCCGGTAAAATATTGAGCCCTGTTAGTAGACTCTTTGCTAGGATGCACAGCCCTGAGCTCAGGCAGGGCCTGTCCTTCAAGAGACAGGTCTTGATGATCCTGAAGGATGGGGCCAAGTCCTTGAGGACTGTCCTGCATTGGCAGAGGCTGGGGAATGGAGCCCCCCTCCACTTGCACCCTTGCATTGGAAGAAGCCCTGTTTCCTACTGAGGCCACCCCCAGCCTAGTCCTGCCATTGCAGCCTGGCAGGTCCTGCAGCCCGTGGGCGAGTGGAGGAAACCACTGAGCGCAGAAGCAATGACCTGGAGGTTGAGTTTTCTTCTGTGCCCTCTGTGCCAAGGGTGCAGAGCAGAAGCAAGCCCGAGAGCTGGAGGAAGCTCCAGCCCAGGGAAATGTGCTCCTAAGAAAATCAGGGTGGAGAGAGACCTTGGAGGACCACTGAGGAGGATGGGGAGCCCCACATGCACCACCTCGGACCTGGGCCCCAACTCGGAGCCTGAGGATAGCAGGAATAAGAGGGAGCCCACGAAGCCTTGATGTGTCCAAAGTCGTCCCCCTGAGCAAGAGGGGCTGCCGTCACTCCCTGGGGGGTGGCTATCCCTTCAGGGTGGGCCACTGCCCCCTGGACATGCCCTTGGAGGAGATGACTCCCTTGAGCTCATCACTGTCGTCCTTGACAAGGGATAGGAAAGGTGGAGAGCCGACTGGCAGCTGTTTCTGCTCCCAGGTGGACGTGCAGAACAGCTGCACCCCGGGAGGCAGCTGGGCTTCATGCGCTGGGCCTAGATCAGCTAACGAGGAAAGGGGCAACGCTTCTTCCCCGGGAAGCCCAGGCTAACAGGCAGCCTCCGCAGCACGGCCTGTCAGGAGGGAATAAACCCCATGCTTGGATGGCCCTTCTTCCCACCGTCCTCTTGGTTTTCTCCTGTCTCCTCCAATCCCTCACTGTGCTGACCCTTGCATTCGTCTTGCCCAGAGCGAGTGGCTGCAGGACCGCTCTTTCAAGCAAACCCGACTGCACCTTGCTGCAGGCAGAAAGGGCCAACCAGACAGCCTGGCACGCCGGCTAGAGCGGAAGAGCCTTCCTTAGTCGTGGCACCAGCTCCAGCCCTCAAACCACGGCCCGACTTGCCCCATAGAGGCAAATGGACGCAGGATTTCAAGTCGGGGAGCAGAATGGCTACCTGCACATCAGTGCACTTAAATAACTAAAAGGAACCAGAATTTCTGCTTTTTTTGTGACGGGAACCATTCTTCAGCCCCTCTTCTGTGCTGCTTAATGCTTTTCCCCCCAAAGTGCTCCTTCACGTAGTGCTTTGGGATCAGGAACGTGCACATGTGGTCAGAAGAGTTTAGTCTGTCGCAGGAACTTGAACCCTTTGCCCTGTGCAGTCGTGCAAATCATTACTGTTATTTTCGGATACATTTTTCTGTATGCCAAAGAGGATCGATTGACAAAGAAACAAGCCCGTTTATTATCACAACTTGATACCGTTTTTTTTATTACGTGGTAAACAGCAGCCAGGAAGTGGAAGAAACCAACTGCAAACGCATTGCAACAGGTGGCAGTCCCATATCTGGCTTATCCAAAGCAGTGACATCCCATCGGACACACCAATGTAAAGGTGAGCGTAGGTTAATTGATTCAAAAAAGGCCTGAAACTCGGGAGATGCAAACAAAAGTAGAGCTGTTGCCCCACTGTCAAAGGCAGTGTCATCGCTGGACCATCTCGGGGAGGTGGCCAAAGTTAACGAAGCATGCTGGGAGCATGTGTGAGCCGCTGAAGGCAGGCTGGAAACAGGGGCATAGTGAGCAGACCGAGCACCTGGGGCAGTGAGGGGTCCCGGAGATGGAGGAAGGGGCTCGCCTTCCCCTCCTCGCTCTCCTGCCCCACAGATACACTATGGGCACGTCGACATGCGCACTTTAATGTGCATTAGCCTATTTGAATGCCCATGAAAGCATCAGAAAAAACCATACTCTTTAGCTAATGCACATTAATATAAGGTATTGCACCTTTTCCTAGTACCTCACAATGGAGGTACTAGATCTAAAGTGGTGCAGTTTTGCGCTGCCCACCCGCTGTGGCTTCCTCTGCCACTTCTAAGGCACCGGGGCCAGTGGTGGGAACAGGAGCGCGGGCAGCATTGCCCGCTGGGAGCCCTCGCAGCGGTGGGAGAGGCTTTGTGCAGCCCCCCACCAAGCAGTGGATCTGGGGGGCAGCGGGGCACAGTGAGGAAGTTGGCCAGCTCAGTCTCTGCACACATGGTGTGTGCCCACATTCATTGCCACACCACCAGGGGCCAGAACGGCTGCCTGTACGTGACTGCAACATGTGCCACTTGGATAATAAAAGACTCCCTTTCAGATGAGCAAAGGAACACGAATGCTGCCTTTGACCGTTCTCTTAGCACAGAATATTTATTGAGCAAAGAAAATGCCCACGGTGCTTTTTTAACTGTAATGCTCCTGGATTTTTCTCTGTGAACTGGAGAAGAACTTGCTGATGTATGTGGGAACAAAAGGAGACTTTCTCCTTATGGGAACATATGCAACCTACAACTTTTGGTAATACTTTTACACCAAGAGGTGCATTTTTATGTGGTGTCTACAAGAGAACTGGCATAACAGCATTACAGCATACTGGAGCTGCTAAATGTGCAGTGAGAGAGATGGATCCTAACTGAATTGTGTGGTAAGTGAAAAGGGAGCAGCCAGGTTGGTTTGGTAATCATCAGTCCTTCCAGATCATGGTGTATGGGTGAGAGGTTACCCAGACCATTGATGCATGTGCCTAGCCTGGAGTGGAGGCTGCCCAGACCATCCATCCCCCCTTTAGGCCACTGAGACAAAATCCAAAGGCCAGACTGAGTCCAAATGTTTGGTGCCTCCCTGACTGTAAAAGGAAGTGTCTCATTCCCTGTAACTAGTTGTTCCTGGGGACAGTTTAGTTCAATATCTTCATTAACCATCTGGAGGATGGGATGGGATGGGCTATGTTGCATCCTCAGCAAGTTCATGGATGACACCAAGCTGCGGGGAGTAGTAGATACACTGGATGGCAGGGCTAGGATTCAGAGTGACCTGGACAAATTGGAGAATTGGGCCAAAAGAACTCTCATGAGGTTCAACAAGGACAAGTGCAAAGTCCTGCACTTAAGAAGGAGCAGTCCCATGCACCGGTCCAGGCTGGGAGGGATGGGCTGGGCAGCAGCTCTGCAGAAAAGGACCTGGGGGCGATGGGGGCAAGCTGAACAGGAGCCAGCAGTGTGCCCCAGTTGCCAAGAAGGCGACCGGCATCCTGGGCTGCATCGGTAGGAGCGGTGCCAGCAGATGGAGGGCAGTGATTCTTCCCTCTATTCAGCACTGGGGAGGCCACATCTGGAGTCCAGTGTCCAGCTGTGCACCCTACTGCAGAAAGGATGTGGACACGTTGCAGAGTCCAGTGCAGGGCAATGAAAATGATTCTGGGTTGGGGCATGGGGCTTGAGGTGGCAGAAGCTCCATCCTTGGATGTTTTCAAAACCCGGCTAGACAAAGCCTTGGCTGGGATGATGTAGTTGGGGCTGGTCCTGCTTGGAGCAGGGGGTTGGACTAGACATGACCTCCTGAGCTCCCTTCCCGTTTTCTATGATTCTGTGATTCTAGTGTCTGTAGAAACATTATCTTTCCCATGCATATTTCAACTGTGATGTCCTCACACTGTAATTCATGTTAGTAGCCTGCATGAAATATTAAAGTGTACCTTTTACTGATGGGATTTGACAATACATGGATAAAAAGTAATACCGATGAATTATCAGGGAAGCTGCAGAATGGCAGCCAACACAAAGGAAGAAAAAAACCCCTGCTGTTCACAAAGCTCAGAGGGTGTTCCTGTTCCTTCCCGAAACACTTACAGGTTTACTGCAAACATGCATCCATGCGCCACTCTTTGTATGCTACACACAGGAAAGCACGTGCATGCAAACACCACAGTCGTGTGCACAAATCCTTTATTTCACTGCCATAAGTTAAGCATTTAAAACCCACAAAAGTGCAAAGAGCATGAGTGTGCCACGAAGCCAATCAACCATCTGCACAAAGCTACCAGGTCATACCCTCTAGGAGCATCTTACATCAACAGAAAAAGAGATACAGCAAAGGGAAATATTCTTAGCCTTAAATTTCCGGAGATCATTCCAAAAGCATTGGGACTGCTTTGCAGCATGCAGAGAAACTACTGATGATGCCATATGGGGAAGCCATAGGCCTCTGTTTAGGGGATGGATCGCCACTGCTAGCAGCACAGCATCCTTGGAAAGGCATTGATCCTTTCTGGGGGGTGGGTGAGCCTCGTGCTGGGGAAAACCCTTGTTCAAAGCAGTCTAGTGCAAAGGGATGGGGGGCAGATGTCTGGTTTGTGATCATTGCTGACTGGAGTGCTTTCAGCTGGCTCGCACGTGCTGTTACCACATTGATCTGGCGCACGCTACTTCGTTCGGACAATGCATGTGGGCGCTAAACCAATCCTGCCCATATCCCACCTCCTGTAAAACTGCCTTGCACCAGAAGAGCATTGCCTTTGTATTTCACAGAATGTGTCACAATAAAGGTTTTTGCCATGCTGCTAGATCTGCCCCTACAGATGGTGACTAATCATCCACTGAATTAGATGTACCAAAGCTTTTATAGCAGACTACTATTCCCCAAACCCCCCCACCCTCCTCGACAAAATTTGTGGAGATTGAAACAGTGACCCAGACTCTAGTGCTGAGAGCAAATTCAACGTACAGCGTTCCCAGAAAAGTGCCTCTTCACTGCAGTCAAAGGTGCGGCTGTATCTCGGGTAGACGTACCTCTAAAAAACCTAAAACTAATGCCACTGTGAACTAACAGCAGTGTAGTGGTGGCAGCATGGAGCTGCATGTGGATCTGAGCTCCGCACTGCCTCTTACAACAGGTTTTGCAAGCAGCGTGGAGCTTCATGCTATCCGGCTACTCTGTTATCAGTCTCCAACAAGCTGGCTTGGTACATCTACATAGGCTGCAGTCCCCCTTTGAGTGCAGTGAGGACGTACCAGAAGATAGCCGTGTTGTCCAGACATGTGAAGCTGAAGGGTAAGAATCAAGACTGCAGAACTTGGCCTTCCTGTGCATACGGTTTCATCAGCAGCCGGCACACGCCGCATTGACGCAGATCTCACACAGTTCTATGGCTTGGGCATCCATGTCTGTGCAAGAAGAAATGAGATTAGTGATGCTGTCAGACAATGTTTCGGGGAGGAATCTGCAAGGATATTGGGGCCGATGATGTTTCACTGCAGTTTAGGGACCTTTCGCGTTCACACGTGCAATGGGTGTGTCTACATGTGTGCCCTTAATGCACATTAAAAATGGAAAATGTAGGTATCAAATTTAGGCACAAATCATTAAAGCACATTAATGCACGTTAGATGCATTAAAGCGCATTAACTTTAGTCCTACGCCAGTCCACACAGCATTAATGCACTTTAACACCCCCGCCTAAACCTGCTTAATGCACGTTAAATTTAGGCGTGCTTAAGTCCACATGTAGACATGTCCAATAAGTCATAACAGGGACCACAGGACCTTGTTAAAGCCTTAAGTAAGGAATCCCCCAACAACCTCCCCCAGGAAAGACAACATAGAAGAAATACAGTGACCAAGCTAAGAAGCACGGTGTAGAGGCACAGAAATATGATGTACTGAACCAACAGCCATTTACAGAGCTCCAGGCCAACAAAGGAGTTATATCATTTCATCTGATCTCTTTTGTAACACAGACCATTAATTTTCATCCCGTTACTAGCACAGTAATTTTGCGCAGTAATTACTAGCACGGTAATTTAGTCTGACTAAAGCGTGTCTAGTGTTTGGCTAGTCCCATCTTCCCCAAATGCATCCCAACTTGGAAGATGGCAAGAGAAGGCAAATCCACTACTTTCCTTGGACACTGATTCCAGCAGTTAATGGCCTTGACTGCTAAAAATATTTGCCTTAGTTCTAATTTGAAATTTAAAAAAGGAAAAGTCTAGCATTAACTTCCAGCTGTTGATTATTGTCCTGCCTTGGCTAGAAAGAAATCTTGTCCCTGCAGGGTGTATTTATTCACTCTAATCGAGTCACCTCCCCAATTTCTTTGTGACAAACGCAACAGAGGAAGCTTTGTTCGCCTCTCTTTGTACAGCATTTTTCCAGGCATTGACTAAATTGTGTCACTTTTCTCTGCCCTTGCCAATTTTTTCAGTCCTACACTTGTCTCCGAGGTAAGTAAAAGGGGTGGCTCAGGAGCTCTGGCTAGGAGGGGACCGCACAGCTTCTCTAGAGCAGTTTTCAGACTTAAGGCACCCCTCCTTTTCCAAGGGATTCCTCAAGTCTAAGGCCAGCACTTAGTTGTCACTTATTTTTTGACTGTAATAGCAAAATAATCAAACAATGCTTCTCTTGCAAAGAGCTCGGGCAAGATTGCTTTAACACGATGGATTCCTATGTGAAACCTCTGGGTTAGCATGTGAATCATGTTTGCATGACTTACTTAACAGCTGTCTGAAAATCTCGGGTGCATCTTCTCTTAGACAGATATGGTGATATTCCACCGGGAGCTCTGGACTTGCGCACAGGGCACCAATGTTCCTCTTCAGACGGGGATTAACGTTGGTGTCCAGACTCCAAAATGCCTTCAGCTGCTTCACATCCTCCAGCGGGAGGGAGAAATTCCCTATCTGTATAGAGAGAATCAAAGCAATGCATCAGGAAAAGGGTTGTTATCACTTCACCACAACCCACGGGCGGCACATGCGTGCCAAATCTTACATATTAACAGAAAAAGAGCATAGGAAAGGAGTGCTGGAACGGACCTCAGGAGGTCAGCAAGGATCATCCCTATCTAAACCATCCTGGACAGGTATTTGTCAAACCTGCTCTTAATACTGCACAAGCACTCTTGCAAAATTGCTATCCCCAATTTGCTCAAACATAAAAAAAACCTCTCATTTTCCGTAGGTAAAGCAGGAGAAGGAGGGCACTCTCAAAGCTGGGAAGTTTGTTACTGAACATGCCTGAGAGATGTGAGGAGGGGGGTTGTGTCCCCTGCTGCAGAAGAAGGCAAAGCCCCCCGGTCCATGCCAGTCTGACCGCTGGCTCAAATTCCTTCCTGACCTCCCCAGTGCTGAATTGCGTGATCCAGAGCATGCGGCCAGAAACCTGCAGGTGTACGTGCCGATGAGGGCACCGGCTCACCCCAGTCACAATCCTCAGCCTTCGCTGCAGCCAACCCTCAAAGCTTCAGAAGAAGGTGGAAAAACCTGGGAAGGGGAAAAAAATTCCTTCCTGGCCCCATGTGGCAATGAGCAAAAGCCAGAGACCTGTGGAAACGAAACACCTTCCTCTCTGCATTGCAACCCCAGGCTGCCACCACAGCCCCACTCATCACACGAACTGGGGAGCCCCTTTTCTGCCATCCCATGCCCTGCATAAACTGCTCCCAGCTCTTTAATCTTGTTTCACAATGAAGCAGTAAAGTCCTGCTTTATTCTGCTGCGGAGCAATGTTCATAATCTCCAAGCGGTGTGTCCCAGGATCTCTCCTGCACTCTTAGCACCTGGAGATGCAGACTATCAAACCAGCCAAGACACCCATCAACCATCAAGATTGCCAAGAAAGATTTGAAGAGAAATGGATTTGAAGTTTGATGTTAACACTTGAACCTCGAAGGGTGCTAATATGATCAGGCTGGTCAATCAGACAGACAGAGGCCTTTCTGTGCACCCCATTAAACAGCAGTGGCTGTACAGATAGGATAGTGTTCCTTCCTAGATGCTCCAGCTAATAGTTTTATCAGCACTGCAGCAGTCATGATGAATTAGGAGTGTTAGCTACATCACAGATAATGCAGGAAGCCTTTCCTTCCCTTTGCTGTGGCCCTAAAAGAGTAGAAGGGCTTGAAGACAGCTCCAAGAAGATGCTACAGCCCTTGGATCCCAGTGGGAGAGGAACGGGTGTTTAGGAAAGGGGCAGCGACAGGAACCTGAGCTGGCCATCTTACAGAGACGTGCCCACTAGAGGATCATTTATAGGACATCAAGTGCCAGAACCAACAGCCTTGCTTTCTTTCCCCACAACCTCCTGCTCCAAAAGATGCTGAAACACCGGGAACAACAGGAACCGTGCCATGAACTCAAATTTTACTGATGACGATCATTCCACCCAGAGAAAAAAGAGAGACAGTGCTGCAGTCTGCACGTGCACCAGATCCCAACAGCGGAGATGGAGTTTGGTTAGGATTGCATCCAGCTCATCCTGGACCAAGGAGGAAGACATGCAGAGATGACAGAGCGGGAATGTCACAATAATTGCAATCACCACCCCCCTCCTCATCTGTATCCATTTATGACAATTACTGTCAAAACTGGAAGCCTATAATGAGAACTTAAATTGGAGTTCAGGCACCTAAAAGGCAGCTGAATGTGCTTTGAGCACCCACAGATCTTACCTGCAGTTAGCAGGAGTTATGATGCTCCTATAAGCTGCACTGTTCATTAGGGCTTTAGGTAGCTAGTGTAAAGCACCCAAGCTTGAAAGCAAGTCACCCAATGACCAGACCCTAACGCAGACATAAGTATTTTCAGACTGACTTTGTTCTTGCTGGTGCATTAGATACTGTAGTGTGCAAGCAGCAGCAGCGGCAGCTCCACTTCACTTAATAACACCAAGTGCCGGGGGCGCTAGTTAGCTGAATCCTTCAAGTAAGCTGAATCCTTCAAAAAAACATTTGTTTCATGGATGCAGCCTTTGAGATTCATTTCCCTTGAAATGCCATGGAGCGAAGGGGCCTAGAGCCTTTGGGTCCAGCCTTCCTGGGTGAGCACGCTCACTGCTCAGGTCCCAGGCTTTCTTCCCCCAGTGTCAGCTCTTTCCAAGACTTGTCCACATCCACGCCTAGTCTACATGCATAGGACTGCACAGCTAATCGTGTCCTGTTTCCCCGTGGTTTGGTCTAAGACGCACTGCTACTCCTCTGTAACCCTACCTAACCATCGCTTTCTTCATTCTACCTCTGGGGTGATCTTTGCACACACAACCCAACAGGATATTTTTGGGGGTATGCTCCTCCAAAGTTAGGCTAATTAGTGAGGCCACATGTTCCCTTGTGCCAAAAATAAATTCAGCTTCTTTTATAAAACAGGAAAAGCCTGTAATTAATGTGATGCATGACAGTGGACCAGTAAACACTTTGCACAAATACTGTGTCTTTCATTGGAGGATTTGGAGCACTTGTGTAAGAAACATGCGTCTCAGCGATCCCCAGTGCTCACCTATCAACAAGCGCACGCTCCACTGTAAAGAGCGATCCGCCGAGGTCCAGAGACGCATGTTTCTTGCACAAATGCTCTGAATCATCCCATGAAAGACACGGTATTTGTGCAAAGTGTTTAAGCAAGGATTTGAGTCCATGAGTGTGGGGTGTGTGCGGTTTTTAATTTTATTCTAACCATGCGCTCTGCTATCACATTACATTGTGCTGACCTTGGAGTAATAAAAAGAAATGTCTGAGAGCCAGTGATCTCACCTGGACGTAGACAGGCTGGACGCTGTGTATAAACACCACGAGCACAAGAATCGCCAGGAAAGTGAAACCTTTCATGGCACCTGCAGGCCCCCGCGTTTTTCTTCTCAAAATATCTTATTTTTTTCACTCTCGGTTTTAGTCTCTTGCTTTTCTTCTGTGTCTCTCTGGCTCTTTTTCTTTTGGCTTCTGAGCCTCAGATCTTCACGCTTCCAGGGCCATATCTTCCCAAAGCAAAGGAAGACCTTATAAAGCTTCCAGACAACATTTACTTGGTAATTCATTAATCCAAGTAAATTTATTGCCATCTGATAATCATCCTATGAACTAACAGTTAGCTACTTATTGACAGGGTAGATCAGCCACACCCAAGCCAACCTCAGCATTTATGAGCCTCTGGTAGCCTGGGAAAGTAGTCAGAATATAAAGAGCCATAAAAGTCTGGCGAAAAGTACCAGGTATGCCCATCTAACCCGCTCCCTGAGAATGGGACATAACCACATGCCCAGGTAGCGTGGGCCCAGGCAGAAAAGGCTTGGGAAAAGATAAGGCATGTTTGGTCCTTGCCCCAAATGACGTTCATTTTAGAGTCTCCCTGACCTTTAGTGATGGAGATAGGGAGGGCGAGGACTTCCTCTAGCTGCCATTCACAAGAGGCGCACGAATGTGCCCGCATGCGCTCTGAGCTCGGGGCTGCAGAATAGCCATCGGACAGATGCCTTTCACCGGGAAGGGTCGCTGCGTTACCATCACGTTTATGAACCGAGGCACGTGGAATCAGAACAGGCGTCGATGTATTTTAGTGAGGTTCTCATTTGCTTTCTGAGCAAAGCCGTCCAAACTGCTTAAACATTATGAAATAACCTGGGAACTGCCAACACAGGAGGAAATAATGGGCAGAATATTGTTACCCGGTTGTTCATCGTTTAGGCCTAATTTCTGCCACGCCCGCTTTGTCCATTAATTGCTGTTCTCCTTTCTCCCGTTGTTCGCTAGCTACCATGATCTTAACACAGTCCTCAGATGCTGCGGCACTGGTAGAGCTGTTTGTTGGGACTAATCTCTACAATGGTTGAGGTCATTTATAAATCCATAAGGAAGACATCAGCCAAGCACCTAAGAAAAGCGGGTCCCTGTACCATCTGAGGGCAATGGTCCCCCTGCCTGGGGGGGACTGGTATCCCCAGGTGTGACAAGCGCTGAAGCATCAGAGCCTGGTGGTACACGTGCATCTTGGTTGCCATTTTGGGACTCCCAGAAGATTATCAAAGCCAGGTTGTGGCATTTGGCTGAGAAAAATGAATCCTTAAAGACCCCATGGCCGCGTCCACATGAGCAGGGGCGTGCCTTTGCAGCAACACAAATAGGAGTGGCACACGTGTGTGCCGCTACTTTGTGCTGCTGTGCATGCCCCTGCACGTGCGGTTTGGGGCTGGCTGGGGCACAAGGCGCCTCAGGGCGTGGAAATGAGGCAGCAGGCAGTCCTGGGCTGGCTGCTTCCCCACCTACATGTTTGTCCTGGCTTGTGGTGCTTTGCGTTACTTTTTTTTTTCTGGGTATTTTTGTTGCTGCTGGGAAATCCCAGTAGCAAATTTTGCCCCAGGGCTGCAAATTAGCAGCAGGGGGCACAGTTTAACATGCAACATGTGCAGTTTGTGGTGCTGCAAAGAGGTTTGCAGTGCCACAAACCACATGTGCCTGCACAACTAGATCTGGCCATGGAGTGCAATCTTAACTCAGCAAGGACATACGGATCCAAACTGGCATTGCAGTGTGAGAGAGGCATCAGTCCAGTGAGAAAGTCCCATGCTATTGGGGCATCTGAGGTTAAACATCAACACCAAATTCCACTCAGGAGATAACAGGCCAGTGCTCCTCGACTTCTTTAGACTCCAGGCACCTCATGCTAGACACAAGGTGCCCCACGCTGGGCTCGAGGACCCCTCACTTGTTTTTTGCCTACAGAAAAACACTAGAGCAATTCCTGTGTTGCAAAAACCTCAGAAAGACCCCAGCAGGGCAGAATGCTTGTAGCGATATGGACGCCGGTTTGAAATCTCTGGGTTTATCCTGTCTGCACCCTTAGCGGAGCTGACAAGACATAACACCCTTGAAAGGATCTCAAGGCACCCCGGTTGAGAATTGCTGTAATAGGTGAGTGAGTGGAGACCTGGCCAAATTCATGCTCTGGCTGTTGAGCTCTGTGGTGAGCAAGCATGGCATCAAACACAGATGCACAGCCTCAGCATGCTACCCCACCACGTGTCCAGACTCCCCGCAGTCCTGCATATAATATAGCTCCGGCAGATCAATATTTGTGAAGAACAAGGTGCTTCTTTCCCCTTCCCTCTTGCTTGTTACCCATATGGGATCACTAGAGGGCAGCAATTGCTGGAGGAAATGGTCTGATCATTGCACACTTCAGCTCAGTGTGGCCCAGACTTCTGATACTTGGGGCACACTATTCTTCCGGATTAAAACTGGTGGCACACATTGCCCTTATACCTGGGAAGGGCAGCAGGGAAGAGGCAGTGGCGGTGCAAATGCCATTTGCAGGTTCCTGGTCCCAGCTCAGCTGGAAGCAGCTGGCACCATGCAGCCAGGACATGGGGGTGGGAGAAGTGGTGGCATCATTTGGAAAGCCCTCTTTGGAGGGAGGCCATGTCGGGGTGAGGCAGTGAGGTGCAGCAGAGCCTGCCAACCTAACCACTGCATTGCATGCATCCTTTGCTAAAGACAAACCACAAGCGCATTTGGCCACACATGTCACAAAGCTTCCCCGGAAACACAAAGACTGCTCACATTGGCTAGGGACTGAGGCATCCTCACACGGCGCTGGGGCTCTTCTGTCACACGCCCTTCTCGCTGGCATGGCCTGGCCCATAGCATTTGCACTGCCATCACTTGCAGCTGCAGAGGAGAACGCCGCATAAACAGCCTGGTTGGGGCACAGGGGAGAAATTTAAGCCATACTTATATGGGGCAAAGCAAGGCTCTGGTGGTCACAGATCACCGCCACGCAGCATCACTTCTACAGGCTCCTTTCCTAGGATGCAGAACAAGTGCAGCACATATGCAACGGCAGGGGCTGTTTTTAGTGGGTGACACCCCTGACACTGAGTGTAAGTCCTAACAGAAGGTCAAAAAGTATTGGCACAGCTGTCCAGGGAAGTTGGCCCAGGAAGTGCAGGGTGGGGGGAATCCTATCATTTGACACTGCAACGCCGACCCAGTGCGAGCCACGCGAGTGCCATACAGATGCAGCTGGGTCCCCGGCCGTTGTTCTGCTTTGTAGCTTAGTGGGGCCCTGTTGTGTCATGCCAGAAAGCAGCCAAGCGGACCTGCTCGTCTCAGCCCTGCTGAAGGACCTGCACTGGATGAGCGGACAGTGGTGTTCGAGGGTGCAGCAGATGCTACCCAGGAAGGAAACAGAAATGCGAACCCCACACAGTCGTCCGCACAGCACACCCTCAGTGAAGTGGTCAAGGCGATCCCCTTCCCAGTGCCACGCTGCATCAGCTTCTCACTCGGAAAGTGGCTGTTGGAAGGTGGCTTCAGGATACACAGAAGACACTTGGGGGGCTACTGAGAAGGATGGAGCTCCATTTATTTTACTTGAAAGGGAACCCAAGACAGCAGCTGCCTCTCCATGGCAGAGAACAAGCGGCAGGGAAATAATAGGTATGTGCTCAGGGTGTTTCCCCTAGTCTGTGGGCGCATCTACATGAGACGCTTACTGTGCATTAGCCTAATAACACTGTCCAGTAGCGTAGTGGTTATTAATTGTGCTAATAGCCTACTGTGCAGTGTTGTTAGGCTAATGCACAGTAAGCATCACTAAAAAGCATGTGCTGGCACTACTGCACATTCAGTTACTACCTCTTATTAGAGGTACTAAACTAAATGCGCAGTAATTAAAGTGCATTAGTGAATGTGTAGACGCGCCCCGTGTTCAGTCCTTCGCCTACAGCTGTCTTGCTCCATTCTTTTTTATTTAGAAAGAAACCTCTAAAGGCAGCTACTTGCCAACAACGGCTGTCAGGGCTACAGACGTCTGTTGCAAAAGTGACAGCATTCGCTCCTTGGGTATCTTCAGTGTTGTGCACCCAAACCCGCTGACACCTTCAGGGACAGGGACGTCATCGGGGCATCTACTCCACCTATGCTCCCCGGGTTCCCAAAAGTAAATGGTTTTGTAGCAGTGCGTGGTATCTTCCCCGCCTAAGACATAGATCCTCTTTCCCCAGCTGACTACCCCAGCGTAGGCAATGCCTTTCGGCAGCTTGGGCACGGCAATCTCATGATTGACGCTACCGTCCTCCGCGAGGAAGAAACACTTCCTGCTGCAGTAGCGGTTCTCGGGCATGAGGCCCCCCTCATAGATCCTTTCTCCTGCTCTTTTCTCCGTGTAACCCCCAACCACATATATTCCATTATTCATGGCCACCGCTCCCGCGGAGAAGAACGCCGCGTCCAGGAGCACCTGCGTCCACGTGTCTTTGCTGGTGTCGTAGATCAGAAGCCCTTTGTGGAATTGCCAGTAGCTCGTCAGGCCGGTGACTCCTCCAAGCAGGTACAGTTTCCTCCTAAAGACTGCGGCGGCACAGCGGCTCAAAACGTACGGCATTCTCGAGATGGGAGTCCACGTTCCCTCTGCTATGTCAAAGCACTCGGCAGAGCTGAGAAATTCATGAAACCTGCACCACCCTCCCATAGCATAGAGCCTCTGGTCGCAGACCAGGAACCCGTGGGTAGCACGCGGCACTAACATAGAAGGAAGCTGGGCCCAGCTGCCTTTAAGGGAGCTGAACTCATACAGAGCGTCCGAATAAGAGTTTCTGCAGATGCCTCCAGACACAAAGAGCCTGTCTCCCAGTGCCACGCAGGCTGGGTGGGTTAAGGATTTCAGGCCTGGTAGTTTTATCCAGGTCCTGGTGCAAGGATCATAACAATCCATAAAGGAGTCTTCAGTGTCCGGCGCCTGGGTCTCCAATATCTGTGTGTTGATGCACACGATGCACTCGTCGTACATGCCAGCTCTGAGTCCTCCACTTGCACACAACCTTTCTTCACCATCCAGCTGTTTGCACTGAAGCTGAACATCCCCAACCTCTCCCAAATAGGCCTGAAGCTCAGCAAGTTCGCTGTCAGTCAGGAGCGGCAGCCGGATGTGGCTCATCAGAGCATTGAGGAGGAAATGGTAGGTACCGGGATGGGCCCGTACCCAACGCTGCGCAGCCCGGAAGACGTCTAATTCCGAAGCAGTGGCCAGGTCCCCTGAAGACAGGATGGTGATTAAGCTGGTCAGGTCCAGGTACAAGAAGTCGTCATCCTCGCAGAACCGGCTGAAGTTGAGGATTACGAACCGCACGGTGGCCTGAAGAAGAGCTTCGTCGCTGTGAGCCTGAGCCAGCCTGTAAAGCGCAAAGCAGTTCTGCAGGGAGATGTTCTTCCTAAAAAACCTGAGGAACATCAAAGGCCATTATCATTAGGGGCGCATCTACACGGACATCAATGCACATTAAATCTAGTACCGCCATTGTAAAGTACTAGGAAAATGAGCATTAGCCCATCTTAATGCTCACGGTTTTTAGTGACACTTTAATGTGCATTAGCTTATTTCAATGCACATTAACTAAAGAGCACACTTTTTTCCAGTGATTTTAATGCGCATTAAAATAGGCTAATGCACATTGAAGCACGCATGTAGACGTGCCCTAGGTGACTGGCACAACCCCACCACAGGTCATCCGCATGACCAGTAACTCAGGACCAAGGAATAGACTTCTACTGCTTGAGTTAAAGCAGTGTTTCTCAACCTATGGGTCGTGACCCAAAAGTGGGTTGCAAGAATATATGAAAGGGTCATGCACAAACTTTAAAAATGGATTCTTCTTTAAAGGAGAAAACCCGTGGCTTTTGCCTTGTAGGAGGCAGAGTTCCAGCCTGCAAGGGGCTGCTTGGGGCCTCCCTTGCCCCACACACCCACCCCCTGCCCCACATGCTGGGGGCCTGGGGCCTGGGGATGGGGGGCATTGGGTCAAGAGTGAGGGGCACTGGGTCAGGACTGGCCACTGATGTTCACAAATGGGTCCTGATACAAAAAAGGTTGTGAACCGCTGAGCTAAAGGACTAGTTCCAGTAGCCGGCAGTAGTAGCTTGAACACCGAAGTGAATGAGGGGTCAGGAGGCACGGTGTACAGGGAACCTGCATGAACAGATCTTCCCCTCCTGGTGTTGTGAAACCTGTTGCTTCCACGCCAGGGTGGCAGCTGTGTTTTCACATGGATTCAGTTCCAGCCGTGCAAGTGAATTATTCCAGGTGAATGCCAGCCGTGGAGACAGAGGCCTGGTGTATTTTCTCCAGGTTAGATACAAATATTGAACTGGAACCAAGCACAACGCCTGAAAACTCTGGCTAGAAATCCCCTCCCTCCTTGGTGAATCCTAGCTAGGAATTACATGCTGAGATCCATCAGGTAGCCAACTCCTAACCCTTTTATGTGACCCAGGGAATTTAGGTTGTGCTGTTTGACTCCAATTAGGGTCTACAAAAACCAATCACAAACATGTCTGTTAATTCACTTTTTTTAATCTTTATCTTTTTTTATTAATGATTTGCCCTAAAGAGATATCAGGCTAAATGGCCTATCTTTATGCAGGCCATCTTCTCCATGCAAGCCATCTCCTCCAAAGCAACTGGAGAAGATGGCCTGGTAGCTATCGGTAGTATTTTCATCAGTAGTTCTCAGAGTTATCAGTAGCTCTGAGTTTTTTAGCTGATAACTCTGAGAGCTACCGATGAAAATAATAATGGTCTTCTCCAACATCCACCTGCACTAGGCTGCAGAGCTCTTCTCATTAGAAGGATGCTCCAAAACCATCCAGAGTAGCACAAGCTTTTGCAACGTGCTGAATTTCAGATGAACTATTACTGATGCTTGCTTTGACTTGCCTCTGGTTATGCCGCTGATACTCCCAGGCACAAGTGTCTTTTGACTTGAAGCACAGACACCGTGCTATCCATTCTTTCACGTTACCTGTAACAAATGTCCACAAGAGGAAGGATCTTTAGCTTATCGGCTGCTTCAAACAGATCCTGGGCCGTCTCTTCTGTCAGTGATACCTCTTCTGTGTAGATATATTTCAAAATGCTTTGGAAAAGAGAAGGAGCAATGTCCTGCAGCAGGACCTCGCCACTCGGGGATTCCTTCTGGGAGCTGGTGAACACATCATGGAAGTAAGGGCTAACTGCGGCTAGCACGGCTCTGCGGGGAGCGGAGAAAAAATATGACTGGATCACATCTGTTACTGGTAGGCATGCAACCCTGGTGAGGAGAGAGATCCTGGGAGTTTTGAAACTCACGGAAGAGGCGGTATCTTTTATTAGACCAACTAGATATTTGCAAACAAATTATTCATTTATTTGCAAGCATTTGGGCCCAAAAGCTTGCAAATAAATAAAATAATTTGTTTGCAAATATCTAGTTGATCTAATAAAAGATACCGCTGCATCCACAAGTTTTGATTCCTTTTGCCTCTAGACCAATACGGCTACAACCTGGATGCCTGGGAGTTTCAGACATGTATGGACCCCTTGTGAATTATCTCTTGGCATGGAAGCGTGTGCATCCCCACTGAGCCTGCTCAGTCGCGCCGTGCTCTGGCTCGGCATCGACACAGTGCTGTGCTCTCATGTCCCGCAAGTCCTGAAACTGTAGCTGGCAAAAACCTATGAGAGGCGGGATGCTGAATTAAACCTATCCATGATTTATCCCACTAGCCTACTGGTCAGGTCACTTTAATCCAGTGAGTGAGAGACCGAGATCTACGTCCTCCCCTCTGTCTTCCTGGGTGGTTGCACTAACCACTCCATATTATGAAGCCGTACTCCGCGTCGTCTGTCTAGAGTATGCACACGTGGCCATCTACATGCCTGCCAGCATGTACCTTATACACATGCACCCTGCCAGGGAAGTACAATCACTGCCTGTGCACGAATGCCCCAAATGCCACTTAGGCAGCTAGAAATCTGCCACTTAGCAGCACTGGAGGAAGCAGTTCCACCATTAGAGACAAGGCCACCAGCCCAGTCTGCAATCCCATGAACCAGTTACTCAGAGCCCATCTCACCTGCCTGTGGAGGTGCCATCCCTAGCGCCACACAACAGCGAAGCTGACTCATGTCAGCACTCACTTTGCTTGATTTACCCAGCACACTGCAGCAGCCTGCGCTGCACCCTTGATCATACCAAATATAGGTCCCTGCTGCCTAGCTCTTGCTAATGGGCTAAGTCCAGATGATAAATAAGCAAAAACCCACCGGTGACAGGGGAACCTCTTTCCTTCACACACTACGGTGCTGTCACAGAGCAACTGGTGCTGGTACAGCTGCTTTAGACCTGTGGGATTTGGGGAAGGAAAAGTCAAAGCTGCAATGGTACATGGCATACAAATATCTCAAGGGAAAGAAGTGATCCCTGGTGCTGAGAAAATGAAAAGGAGTTCCTCCTTGCCCCTTAATTACAACTGCATGGCACACTGCAGAAGTGACAGGAGCCCCGGAGCTCTGCCCATCACAACCACTTTCTGGATGGCCGGCACCCACCAACCCAAGCTTAACCAGAAGATTACCGATCCGTGAAGATCAGCCAACCTACCTTTGCTGAGTCCCAGTGGCTTTGACTTCTGTTTGCCCCCTTTCTGGCTGAGGGTCATGACGAACCAAATGAAAGCACCCTGGAGAGGAGACGACGTATGAAACCACCGTGCTAATTGTCAGGAGATTTCTGCAGCCGTGTCAGCAGGAGGGCACAATGTTTTTTAGACTCGAGGCACCACTCCACAAGACAAGGGAGGCTGAACAAATTAACTTCCATTACTAGACTTCCAGGTTTCCTTATGCCATTTTCTTCCAGATGTTTCCATTTACACCGATTCAAATAAAACCCTAATAAAGCAGTTTGCTTACATGCATCTTCAGATAGAGTTTTGAGCCTGGAAAAGAGGAGACTGAGGAGAAGAGATTTCAAATACCAGAGCAGTCTGTCCCTTTAAGAAGGACCAGGCAGCCCTGTGGAGAGAGCCCGGCTGCATGGTATTTGGATCGGCACGGAGGGTCCTGCTAGGAACTAAAAAATGTTGTGTTGGGAGCCAGCCAACCCCCACCTCCTGCCTTCCCCCGCGCTCTAGTTGGAAGAACAGTCAAGCCCACAATACCTGGATGAAATTCTGTCTCTGTGATATTCTGGCATTCAAATGCATGATGTAATTATCCTTCTTGACCTTAAAATGACTTGTGCTATGGCATACCTGAGCCTGTTACGGTGCTACCCAAGCCACGGGATGTACTCCCGCTACTGCCTCGGCCCCATCTCGGTGGAACTTGACGACGTATTATGCAAATCCCAACTGCTGCCAGAGCGCAGCATTGTGATATCATCGTCTCCCGCTTCATTTGCATCCCCTGCACAGGGTGACCCCGAAGGGAAGAATCGGACTGGCTTGTAATTTGTTCCGATCCATTAAACCGACGTGAGGGCCTGGAGTGGGGAAGGAGGAAAGGCGTGGCGATATGCTGAGGACGGGCCTGGCAGGAGCAGCCACAGTCCTTTGCCAGGGAAAGGACAAATGAGTCGCGCAATTTGAGGTTGGCAGAGTTCCTTGTATGCCGGAAACCATCTTTTGGTGAAGGTCTGGGGAGAGCTGGCCACTGCGGAGGGTCTCCTGTGGAGCCCGACTGCGTAAGGACAAGTGGAAATCCCAACGGGGCGCCAAGTGTGAGATACAATCAGTGAGACCTCTCAGGTCTGCACATGGCCTCCTGGGATTGAGCAGCCCCGTCAGTCCTCCAGGCATCCCACAATGCACTGCTGTTGCCCCGATCCCAGCCCCCTTGAACTTGGGGTGGCCGCTCTGGCCCTGATGGCAGAACTCTACTGCCCAGCGATGACAGGCCACAGGTGGCAACACCCACCTATAAATTGCCCTGCACAGTGATTTGGGACGTGCCAAAACGAGCCAGGCATGTCTCACGCCACCTGGGAGAGCGATGAAGACTCCAGCGCCACCGTGACTGGGGACGCACAGCCCGTGCACGTCGCCACAGCAGTAGCCCAGGAGATGAGCCAGGTCTAGGACTCCCAGGCACTACCCCTGGCTGCAAGCCCAGAATTTAAGACAAGTCACTAATTTCTTGCAGCTACCCAGCTTCTCAGTGCTCGGTCATTGCTACCAAGACAACTGAGGGTGTACCACCCCCCATCAAGGCACACTGGGTGTTTTCCAACTGACTACCACTGGCAAAACCCACCCAACCTTGACCTCTTCCCAACCATCTCTGAAAAAGTAGCTGCGATGGTCCTCGCTCCCGTGCAAACAGCTCATTAGGAATAAAGGCACGCTATTGCAAAGCAATGCATTGCAAACATGTGAGCAAGGGAAGGAAAAAAACAAGTTGCTTTTAAATCATTGGGGCACTTGCTCAGTCACTGCAAATCTGTGTGGTAGATCATGTTCCCTGGCACGCATGGGCTACATAACGAAACATAGGACTAATACCCACAGCAAAATGTTTACATGCATCATGAACACTTGTGTTCAGGCTACAGGAAGGGGAAATACATCATCCCAGGTTGCTTTTCTCCTAAATCAAAGTTCAGCCAAGACAAGGACTTGGGGTTGAAACCTTTTGAAGGAAAATGTGAAGCTACAATGGATAATGTGCGCATGCAATTCTTTTACTAAGCTTGTTATCTGTGCTGGGTCCAAAACAAGCATTAGAGCTGTTGTACTTGGGAATCAAACGCCAGACATCTGCTAAGGTCAAATAAAGAAACTATCACTGGAACTGAAGCGAGTCTGTCTGAATCCACCGTGTCCCTGTGCAACTATATGAACCTTAGGATGTTGTGGGAACATGCTCAAGCAGTCCTAAAGCTAATCAGTGGGAGATTGTATCCGACCATTCACCTTAATCAAGAACTTTTAAATACTTGGACAAGCATTTTTACATGTAACAAGCATAATATTGTACACGTGTTTTAAAGGGTTTAGGCAATAACTAGGTAACGTTTGTAAAATTGACTTTAAATATTATTAAAAGTTTCTTAATTAACATGAGCTAGCTATGGAAGATCACAGGATGACTGAAACAGCACCTAAAGCACTTGGGCCACTTGTACACGTGATGATTTGACCATGTCCACGTGAGGAAGCACTTTTTTTTTTTTCCCTTTCACTTATTTTTTCCACACTAGCTCTAGATATTCTGGCTATCCATTCAGGTACCCCATACTATACCAAACCTTGCTGACCTTTTGGTTTCAATAGTAAGGGCAAGGGCGTGTCTAGGAGAAATGGCTGTAGACACAATTCATAACATTTCCAGATGCTCCTAAGTGACTTAGGTGCCTGGGAGCCCAACATCCCAGCTACCCCCAGAATAGTTGTCTGGGCTTTTGGTCAAGTAAAGCAGGCCACAAGCAGTTGGAGGCTAACTCCACAACTGAGATATGATTTAATATGATCTTCAACCCTCCCTCCCACACCAAGAAGTGTGTTGTTAGCTGGTTTTAATAGATTCAATATATTTTAATAGATAAAATTTGGTGGGGGAGTTTGGCTCTGACAGTAATGTAGGCGCACAATGAATAAGGGCAAAACACCGCTCCAGCAGAAGGCATCCTTCCCTTCAGCAACAGGCTGCTTGTTTTCAATGCAACACCTCCGAATTCCACGTAAATACACAGTAAAATAACGGCCCAATGATTTTCACGCAAGCAGTTTTAAGTACAGGATATGCTACGCATGAGGCAGTTGGTCAACTGGCTAAAACGCAGCTAACTCTCTGCTAACTCGACTGCTGTCAGGGCAATGGATGTCTTTCGGAAAAGAGACAGAATAGGTCTTTTAGGTACCTTCAGCGTTGAACACCCAAACCCACTGAGACCCCAGTTGGTAAAAGGGAGCCTTTCTGGGCACTGAGTCCATCGGGCTTCTTCAGGTTCCCAATAGTAAATTGTGTTATAATATTCCTCTTTGTTTTTATGATCCCAGTTTGTATATAGATTTGTTTTCTCACCGCCTAGCACGTAGATCCTCTTCTTCCAGCGTACCACACCGGCACCAGCAATCTCAACGGGCAGCTTTGGGATGGCAATATCTTTGTTCACTCGGCCATCTTCGCCCAGGAAGAAACACTTCCTCGTGCAGTAAAGGCTTCCTGAATCAGGCCATCCCTCGTTGTAATGTCTCGCTCTGCTCCTGAAATACCCACCGACCACGTAGATCCCATTGTTCATGGAGACGGCTCCAGACCAGCAGCACTCAAAGTCCAGGAGCACCTGCACCCACACATCGGAGCTCACCTTGTAGATCAAAACTTTCCTAGAAGCGGTCCAAGAGCCCCGGGCACCTGTCACCCCGCCGACTATATACAGCTTGTTCCTGAGCACGGTGGAAGCAAAATGGCTCAGTGTGAATGGCAGCCGAGAGATGGGCGTCCAGACCTTTTTCGCTAGGTCAAAGCACTCCGCCGAGTCAAGGTAGCCCTCGTAACAGCACCAACCTCCAATGGCATACAGCTTCTGGTTGCAACTGAGAAAGCCGTGTGAAGCGCGGGGCGTGGACATGGAAGGCAGCCGTATCCACTGGCCTCGGAAAGAGCTGTACTCGTGGAGAGTGTCTGAATAAGAGTGGTCCCTGTGGACGCCCCCCGTGACGTAGAGCTTGTCTCTCACCGCCAAGCACCGCGCGCAATACAAGCATTTCAGGGGGGGCAGCTTTTCCCACGCCCCTGACTGAGGGTTGTAGCAGCCTATCTGAGAGTCCTTGATCTTCAGCTCCGGGCCCTCCTTGTTGAACAGGTCCACGCATACAATGCACTTGTTGTACATCCCCTGCCTGAGACCGCCGCACTCCTGTAGCCGCTCTTGCCGATTGAGACGCTTCCACTGCAGCCGAATATCTCGGTAATGCTCCGATTCGAGCTGGACTTCCCGCAGCTCTTCGTGGGTGAGGAGAGGAAGGCGGACGTGCTTCATTAGCTCACCCAGGAACGGATGGCGTTTGGAGGGTTGAAACCTCACCCAGCGTCGGACGACCCAGTACACGACTAGTTCAGAGGAGACCAGGAGGCTGTCGGAGGAGATGATGCTGATGAGAGAGCTGAGCTGCAGCTGTCGGAAGCTGTTGGCCTTCACGAAAAGGCGCCTGAAGTTCAGGCTGATATGCCTCATGGCTGCTTGAAGCAGAGCTTGTTCATTGTGGGCATAGCCCAACTCGTAAAGTTTCACGCAGTTCTTCAAGGAAACTTCCTTCAGAAGAAAACTGGGAGAAAAATTGGAATATGTGTTAACAGGAAGGTCACGAGAATGAACTGTTGTACAAGCCCTTCATCCTGTCATGTTAGAATAACAGTATTACGAGACCCCAGAATTGCAAATCCCAGCCAAAAGGCATGGAGGTGTCTCCGTACCAGGTACGTAGAGCTAGGATGCATCACTCCTCTTGTTGAGTCCCATGTTTGGGCCACTCGACTTCAGTCAGTGACACAACCGTCGGGGAGCTGCGCCAGGGGAGCCCTGGGACTGGCTCCAGGCAGCAGCGGACAGGTGTTGAAGTGCTTTGTTTGGCTTGAGGACATCAGGACAATATATATTCAGCCTTGCTCCCATGGCTTGGCTGAGTGTCTTGGTGCTGGTGCTTGGCTGTCATGGTTGGCTCCTGCTTGGTTGATGCTCAGGTCTGTATTGCTCCCGGCTTCCCTGGCCCCTGCCTCGGTCTGGACCATGACCCCTGGAAAGCGTTCTGGACTCCTGGACTAGCATGACCCCTGGAAAGCTTTCTGCTCCTGACCTGGTCTTGTCTCCCAGCCCTGGGAGACTCTAAGTTGCCCAAGGCGTTGGCCATACCAGTAGACCGAAGTGCCCACCTTCCAGTTCCTTTAGAGGTGGCGGGGAACACATCACTTGCTCGGCACAGCTCTCCCACCAGCCAAAACCATACATACATCCAGAGTAACATAGCATGTGCATCACTATTACCTGGTGCAGATCTCCAGGAGTGGGAGGATCTGGAGCCTGCTGGCTGCTACGAACACAGCCTGGGCTGACTCCGCCGTAATGGAGACCTCCTCGGTGTACAGGTAGTTCAGGACGGTTTGCACGGTGAAGGGGTCCATGTCATGCATCAGAATTTCTCCGTCATGGGACTCTTTGAAGGAGTTGACAAACATGGCTCGGAAGTAGGGATTGACTGCAGCCAGCAGCATCCTGCGTGGAGAAGGAAGACGCTATCAAGGGGTCCGGTGCTCTCTTGAGAGGAATAGAAGAATTAGGAGAAATCCTGGCTGCACGTGCAAAGGCTTCAGCAGGAGCAGAATTGCACCCCAAGCCATGGATCATGTAAGGAACGTGTGGAGTTTGATAAATAAATGAAAGGAAAAAATGCAGCCAAACTGGCAGGCACTGAATATTGGGGTTTCTGTCGTGCCACGTCCTTTCCCTTTCAGTTTCAAGATTACTAAACAGAGCTCTGGTTCTTCTCCTCCCTACCTCCACCTGTTCAGTAGTCTTTTTCTTGCTACCGGCACAAAGTAAAACTAGTCTCTCTCTCTGAGGCCATTACCTGGTTTCTGATTTTAGGCTGGTTAAAAGGAATGAGATGAAAAGAGGCTGAAATGCCATGCCTAATTAAAGGGATGTAGGTTAATGCCTAACTAACATATCCATTCAACCATATATAACCATTGGCATCCATAACCTTTGCTTTTCTGAAAAGAAATGGTATGGGGAAATGAAGAAACAGCCCTGACTAGACTGCTGTGAGTGCACCTGCCAGAATCATAGCTCAGTGATGCCCAGAGTTGAAAGACAGGCCAAGGAATGAAATAATTTAATCAAAATGCAGATTGCAAAACCTAAAGACAAGGATTTGTTTATTCTCCTCTCAGATCAGGTCTGCTCTGGTGTAGCTCGCTGATCTCAGTGGAGCTATTCTTCCCAAGCTAGCGGGCATGAATCAGCCTTGTGAAACACCACGGGTTCAGGTGAAACAACACATTCAGAACAAGGCCATTACTCCATTTAATTGTGTGCTATTACAGCTAGTCTAAAAGAAAGAGCATATGGTAACAGCAGAAGACTCTTGGAGGAAGGTAGCTAGAAATTAATTTTAATTTCAAAAGAATTCTTGATTTTGGGAACAAGTCAAAGAGAAATCTGAAATTGGGGCATGGCCTACAAAAAAATAAAAGGCCTGCAGAAAAAAAAGAGAAAAAACCAGAGAATTGCCTTTGCTAAGAGACATATTAAAAAGATTTCTCAGATGATTCAAACTTCACTTTCTGGGAGAACATGAGACAAATTAAAGCAACTAGAAACCCGACTGAAGATAAGTGAGATTTGTAAAGTTACCCTGTGATGAGATGTCAGGGTATTATTGTCTTTATAGACAAATCTTCCATTGAAGCACCATGAGAGGTGAAGACGCACACCCAGCCGAAACCATCCTACCTGTGACATGGGAACCGCTGTCCTTCGGTCACGATGGTGGCATCACAGAGCTGCTGGTTTTGGTACAACTTCTTGAAACCTGCCAAGACAAAAATGCGGCAAGGCTTCAAATGTGAGTTATCCAGGGGGAGAGAAGAAACCTCCAGGGCAGTGACTGATCTCAGGGAAAGTTGTACCTAAACCATGTTAAATAGTTGGCAGCTCAGCAATGTGGTTTGGTGACCCTCCCTTTCCATGGGACATCGCCCCGAAGGGACCCGTTCTTAGGGACCCTCATGCGAAAAGCAGCCCGCCTACCCTCACGGATGCAGTGGTCCAGTGGCTGAAGTGCCTCTCTCTCTTCTCCCCTGTCCATTTGGGAGTTGATCCTGCTGGCCCGGAGATAGGGCTGGAATCTCTGACCGGGAAGTCAGACTTCGAGGGTGCCCATATTACACGGCAGGCCTGCTGGAAGAAAGGAAATCAAGCTAGCGACACTTGATTGCCATCAGAGGGACGCAGTCCTTTTGATGTCTTACCTCTGCAGTGAAATCTCAGCAGATGTCCTGTCTTCCCCCAGTATCTTACCTGTGGGTCAAGATTGTCCCTCATTTCCCCCATTGTTTTCAGACAGATATCTGTACAAGGTTCAAAGATAACTGTTTAAACACACCTGTGCACCCTGAAGCTGTTGGCTGCCTCATTTTTCCTCCTTTTTGCTTTATCCCCTTCCACTGCAGCCATGTACTCCTTGCTGTTCTTTACCTTCAGAAGCAGAGACATGGCCTTAGTCCCTAGTTTTATGTACAAGGCACTAGGAGAACATCCCAAAGCCACAGCCAGTCTTTGGTGAAATGACAGATGCTCACATGCTCAAGGGCTATGACAGACGGGAGAAAGGAAACCCAGAAATGCTCTGGTGTGGCCTTAAGGGTATGACATCCCCACAAAAGCCATGTAAGCCCAATTCAAGGTGAGAGCTTGTTCACTATTCCCTTTGCACCCTACGAGCCTCTTGCTTCTGCATAGAAAGGTTCCCTTCAAGGTGCTGAGAGATATTAAGTCAAGGAGAAAGGCCAGACTTTCAGAAGGGCAGAACATCTGTAACTGGGGTCAGACTTTGGAAAGCTGCCATGCCCCATTTAAACCTCTCTGGAAGGCGGATAGATTTCCTCAAAGAGATATTCTGGGGACTTGGACGTTTTTAAAATGCAAGCCTAGGAGCAATGTCTTCCGCAGGTGGGAAGCCGGGCAGGTATCTACCAGGTACCGATTGGGGCTTTGTTGTATAACTGGTAGGCAATTTTCTCGGTTACAGAAGGGCAGCATTTGGGGAAAATAAAATAAATGTTCCCTTCAAAGGGAAGAAATAGCCCTGGTTAGAGACTAACCTGAGACACTGCCACAAGCTGTTTAGATGAATCGCGCCACGCAAGATCCTTCCAACCCAGGGAAATCCAGATGATCCTACACAACACCTCCCAATTCATCTCAGACTCACTATGCCATGTACAGTCACATCCCCTCTTCCTCCCTACACTCGGTGGGCCTCCCTAATCCCTCCAGTTTATAGGATCATTGAAAAATCAGGCTGGAAAGGACCTCACGAGGCAGGATCATCTCCAACCAAACCGTCCCAGCCACGTGCCTGCCTGACCTGCTCTTAAAAGTGTCCTGGCCTGGAAGTTGTGCACGGATAGCTCTGCACAGACCTCACAGCCTGCAACCCCGGAGACACGAGTGACGAGAGTCCAGGGGTAACGATATTGCCCTGATCTATATATTGTCTCCTAACTGGTGGAGCTGGGACTTGTGTCACAGTCTGTTTTGCATATTGTGTTGTGACCCATGGGCCTGGGCTTTGTCGATGCTGCAGTGAAACAAAGTACCGGTACCGGTGTAGATGCAGCAGCAAGGAGATCCGCACAGGCCAACCGCCTGGATATTTATTCACGCATGGTTTTGGGAGGGAGCTGCTATGGCTGCACTGCTGACAGTACCTGAGCTAGCCCGGGCCCATCTCGCCTGGGGTCGGCTACTTGGGAAGAGGGATTGAAGGTGCCCTGCCGCAACGTGCTTCCTCCCCATCTCTGTCTCATCTGGTGCCGCAGACTTCCTACCATTGAGGCCAGCAGATGCAGGGGAGGGGGCTGCAGAGGGTCCCCCAACCCCGAAGCCTCAGTGGAGAGCTTCGTGCAGGGTGCTGAGGTACGCTCCTGCTCAGATACAAGGTGCCGCTGCTCCGCTCCGGCTGTCCTCAACGCTTGCATTCGGCCCCTTTACGACAACGCCTCAGGTTGAAGAATCAAGCTCGGGGTTTCTTCAGCTTTTACGGACAGCTCGGTTGGTTTATTTTACTGATTTTGCAGGCGAGGATTGTTAGCTTTTCTTACGGATTGTCCATAGACTTACCAATAGTTGGAAACCCTCCACTTCGGCCAGGAGGCAGCTGGAGTAGAGGCCATGTGCCAAGAGGCTAGTCTGGGGCCGGGGACCCGTGGAGCCGCCTGGCTCAGCAGCCGTGGGTCTGGGTGGGCTGTATGCCACTAACATGGACCCAGCTCGTAGCCTCCCTGGTTTCCCAAGGCGTAGAGCACCGAAGAGCCGGGACGATGCAGCAGTCCCTGCCCTTCCCCTCCACCGGCACTGGGGCCTCAACCAGCCCTGGAAGGGGCCGTGACTGAGTGTTTTTCCACAGAGCTGTATTTGTTCCCCATTATCTCCCTGCACAACACCCAGGGCTGGGGCCCCTGTCTGCACCGAGATAGGGGAGGAAGCGGAAGCCTGGGGCTGATTCCCGCGAGGCAGGCCAGGCACAGCCTCACCTCCAGCGCTGTCTGGGAAAGCCGGATGGAGCGGTGGAGTCAGCAGAGGAACAAACAAGCACGGTCTATTCCTGACACTTGCCCAAACATTTCCTGTTACTCAGCTCCAGGCCCGTTCCCACATCAAGCACGGGAACTTCCAGCCCCAGCCCTGCAAGCGCAGGGCCCCTGGAGCCCCCACACCATCCAGGGGCAACAGGCAGGTAAGCAAGCACCCCCTCCATCCTCAGCAGGGAGGGAACCAGAGGCATCGAGGGGCCTTTGCCGGTTGTATACAGGTGGAGCTCCACTAGCCAGTAGCTGTAGTGGGCTCTTACCCATGCACTTAACTAGAGCGCCGCATGGGCTTGGACGGGTCCGACCCCAACTGATCCACGTCCCTCCACGTCGATGCTCCCTGTTCAGCATGCACCCACCACAGCATGCAGTGCATTCCCGGGAGCACGCACGGGGCCGGTGGTGCAGGTACCAGGGATCCTGCCTCCCAGCCCACCTGTTCACTCCCAGCTGTGGGATCACAGCCGCCTGGGACCTCGTTGTTTGCAGCTCCGGATGCTGGGCCTTCGCTCTCGTTGCTTCCTGCGTGGGGGGCCAAGTAGGGGCACTCCTGTGCCGAGAAACCCCCTTCACTGCACCCCACCAAAAACCTGGCTTTGGATGCCTCCCCAGGGGCACCAACTTCTGGTCAGCCCCCTTCCTGGAGCACACCCGCAAGCCTGGGGCACCGCTGCCACCCCCCCGACTGAGGCCTTTGTCTGGGCCCTGTGCCACCCAGGATACACAGGCCCCGTAGACCGCTGATTCCCAACCTCGGGGTGTGACCCAAATCAGGGTCCTCATTAGGGTCACGGCAGTTAATGGCGGTGGCAGTTAATGGTGCAGTGTTTAGGGTCACAGCAAAAAAAGGTTGGGACCCTGAAGTGCTTCTATTAACCTGAAACACAGGAAGTCGCCTCCCTTAGTCAGCTGAGCCAAGGGGGTAGAAAAGTTGTGCCCAGTCCCTCTCATGCAGGTACCACCGAGCTCGTTATAGTGGATCGCTTTATTGGGTAGAGAGGGCAGGCATGGGGAGGGATGCAAGCTGGGGAAGTATTCAAGAATGACCCAGAGCCAACTGTGCGGCCTGGTCGCCTTTTGACACCAAGCTATATTTCTAGATAAGTTTCAGGTGGGTCACAAGCACCGTCCAGAGGCCGATCGAGCTCCCCCGGGAGGCGGGCAGTTCACGGTGCGTCCGTGAGTATCAAGATGCCTCTCTTCCCACCCCGAGATGGAGGGGCCCTTAAATAACCTCTCCGACCTCACCTCCCGGACCCAATCGGGGCAAGCGTTGTTGGAGGCCGACCAACAGATTTAAAAAGCACCCCGGTCACCTAAGGGTGTGACATGGCTCAAGCCCCCCGCCCCCATGCCAAGAGGTCAGGGCTTGAAGCGATGGAGCGGGCGATCCCCGCCATCTTACCTGCGGTCAGACAGGTAGGCCGCCAGCTGGTTGCTTAGCAACCGGAGTGATGGACACATGGGGGGGCAGAGCAGGATTCCTTCACACCTGGGCCTGTCAGGGCTGCAGCCCCCCTCGCAAGAGGAGAGCGGTGCAGAGGACCCGCACTCCTCCGTGTGCAATGAAAGCCCCGCACCTGTGTTAATCAGGGCTCCTCGTGCCCAGGCCTCTGCCCTCCCTGCACTTTCCAGGGCGGGCTCTTAATTCCTGAGTCTCAAAGGCTGGGGCCTTCGCGCGTGCTACATCCAGCCCCTCGCTGCCTGCCAAGATCAGGCACGACCCTTCCTGCCAGCGCCTCGCCCTGCCGCAGCCCCTCTTATCAAAGCGGCAGCGCTGCTCTCGGGCTGCGCCGAGCGCCAGTAAGTGCCACTTGAAGCTGAGCGCTGAGGCCCAGAGCGGTGCTGCGGGGATCCTGCCTGCCCACGTGTTTGCTCAGGAGGGGCCTGCGTTTGTCCGCTCACCTCCCACTAGCCTCCAGCTGCTCCCAGATGCCCCGGAGACCCGGCTCCAAAAGAAAACCAAGAAAAAGGCAAGAAAGGATCATGCGGAGAGAAGCCAAGTGGCTGTTCCAGGCTGCAGGAAACGTCTTCCTAGTTTCAGGCAAAACCTCCCTGCCCTGCAAACTTCGTTTGTCCCGGCCCTCTGTTAGCAAGCCAGAGCCTGCCAGCGCCCAGCGAGGAGCTGGGCCGGGCATAGCTGCCCATCTGTGCCCCTACAGGGCAGCCTGGGTGACCCTAGCCAGTCTCTAGCTGCAAGGTACAGGGGTCAAAGGTTGCCTGTGTGTCCTTTGGGGCGGTTGTACCAGGGACATTTCATGCCACCCTACCCTGCAAAGCCAGGGGGGACTGGTCGCAGCTGCTGGTCTGTCCTTCCACCCGGTGCAGGACAAAGCCCCGAGCCACGGACGGAAACCTGGTCCCTCGTGGGTGGGTGCAAACAGCTCCCATAGGCACCCGCTCTCGAAGGCTGATTCCCCACGGCGCCGGGCGGCCAGCTGTCACCGTGGCTCAGTACCTGCGCTGCGGCAGCTCCCTTCCGGCTCCCAGGACCTTTTGGAGGGTGAGGAAACATTTTATCCTGGGTTATCCCCTTCAGAGAAATCCCCCATCTGCTATGTGGCCATGCCAAGGAGCCCTGGTCACAGGCCAGGACCCCAGGGTGCCAGGCACTGGTCAAACCCAGGACAAGGAAAGCCATCCCTGCCCTGCACAAAGGAGCAAACAATCCCTCCCGTGTCCAGGGGACGTTTGCTGCAACGTGCCCAGCCAGAGCCAGAGGCAAGTGCCGTGCTCTGGACTCACAATACAAGGGGCAGCAGGGATGGCAAAGCTGGCTGGCAGCTTATTCACTACCAAGGAGCAGTATCATGTATATATTGTGGTTGGAAAGGTTTCCAGCTGTTCTTTGTTGCTCATAGGAAAAAGATGAACTTGGACATATTTTTTATTCACTATTATTCACTGAAGACTATGTAATGTTAAGTAGCCTGCATGAGGTGCAGAGGGATGGCTGGATGGATGTGCAGATACATGATAGATAGAGAGAGAGAGAGAGAGAGGTGATGTGCACTTGGTTCTGCAGAGCCCTCACGGCAGCACTGGCCTGGAGAGAGCCGCAGGGCTGGATGGTTTTAGCTGCCCCTTGAGCTGAGAGCAGTGATTTCTTCCCGGTTAAAACAACGTACTTTGCCTCTTTGGGAGTGATGACTCTGAAACTCCTGCTAAGCTTGGGCCTACTCACAAAAGTTAAAATACAGAATAATACTGCTAACTGCATATTGCAAGAGGATGCGAGTTCATGGCTAGGCCATCTGAGAAGGAAGAATGAAGTATCTCTTCCACCTTATCTTGCTATATTCAGAATGATTTCAAGCAGACTCTTAGTTGTCTGGTGTGTAACCGTATGAAATGTCTATCCT